CTCGTTCGGGCACACATATGCGACCTCCCGCAGCAGCTCGTCGTCGATCGGCCGGTCCTCACCGCCCACGTCCTGCAGCACCGGCACGCCCGCGGCGCACGCGGCGCGCGCGACCGCCAGGTTGACCTCCTCCGGGATCTCGCGCTGCAGCAGCACCGCGCTCGCGCCGCACACCAGCTCCTCCAGGGCGGCCGCGCGCTCGGCTGTCCAGCCCGCGTTGGCGCCGGGCACGACGATGCTCGATGCGGCGCCGTCGGGAGTGAGCATCACGATGCCCTGGCCCGTCGGCAGCTCCGCGGAGTGCGCGCAGCGCGAGACGTCGACGCCGGCTTCTTGCAGCGCCGTCCGCATCGTCTCGGCGTAGCCATCGTTGCCAAACTCACAGATCAGCACCGCCGGCCGGCCGGTGCCAGTGGCCAGGCGCGCGGCGGCCGCGGCCTGGTTCGCGCCCTTGCCACCGACCGCGACCGATGTGCACGGACTGCTCGCCATGACGGTCTCCTCCTTCTTCGGCAACCTCTCGACCTCGATGGTGATGTCCACGTTCAGCGAGCCGACGACGACGAGCGGCTTCGTAACGCCGTCGTCGTGGACGCCACCGCCACCACGGAGACCCAGAAGAGCGCCAGGCTTTGACGCGATCGCACTCGGCCTGTGATCGGCTGCCGCGAGCGCGGAGAGCACGACGAGGGCCGCGACGACGCCGATGGCCATGCCGATAATGAGCGGCGAAAGTTTAAAGCAGCTGAGTGACAAAAAGGCCGGGAGCCGCGAGCGCGGTGGGGGCTGCTGGCTACGACTGCTGGCGGATTTTTTCTTTTTTGCGATTTCGGATTGCCTTTGATACTGCTAGCGCCAGTCCGCACCTGTGTCGAGCCTGTCTGCTGTGAGAGATTTTAGGGTTGTTGTTGAGAGAGAGTTTTAATTCTTTCGGCGAGCTTGAATTGAAAAAAATCTTTCGGCCGGAAACGTCACGCGGTAGCCGCTCCCGCATCGCATCGCGCATGATGGTGTAATCACGAGTGGTCGTCTCGGATTGGGGCACCGGCGCGCCGCACGGGGCGAGACCCTTGGCCTGCCAAGCTCTCCGGAAGACCGGAAGGCGGCTATGTGAAGCGTCTAGTCGAGCGGCTGGTGCGCGTTGCACACGTTGTAGGGAAACTGGCTAGTGTTCCACCGAACGCAAACAGCTCCAACGGGTAGAGGGAATGCTGAGCGGCGCAAGCTGCCACGTGCAGCCGCCCTCGCCGACGAGCGCGCCGAGTGGGCAGCGGCCCTTGACCGGAGTCGGCAAGCTCCCAGGGTAGACCCCCGATACAGGGTAGACCCAGGGCAGCCCGATCGGCATCATGCCCGTGTGGACGCGCGAGGCGGCATCGCTGTGGGTGGAGCAGTGGCAGACGTCCTTTGTTTTGGCGAGGAGGCGTTCGTGTCGCACCGTGCGGCGCGGATCTCGCTGGTTGACATATGGCCGATGTACCGATCTGGCAGGAGGTCGCACCACCTGCCGCAAAGCCAGAGGAGACCGAACACAGCTGAACAGCTCTCTCTCCGCGGGTCGGCTCGAGGCGGCGGGCGTGCAGGAGCTAGTGCTCGCGCCGCATACGCCATCGCGTCGCTCGAGCTCCTCGACGCCATGGAGCGCCCCCTCCGCTCGCGGCCGAGGCGCCGAGCTCGAGGACTAAAGAGATGGCCACGCGCCACGCCCACGGCGCACGGGAACGGTGCGGTGCGGTAAGGTAAATTTCTCCACACACACAAGGAAGTGATGGGGCAAGGGGGGGGGGGGCAACCCTCGCAACTCCACACCCGGAGAGGGCCCGCTGCCGCACAGGGTTGCGAAAATGCGAGGAGCCCCACGGCATTCTAAGAGTAGAGAGAGTGCAAGAGAGCCCCCCGGCGGAGGGGTGCGGTGCCTATGTCTGACGACTCCTGGGAGCACTGCCGAGTGCGGTGCGGAGCGGACCCCGTCTGAGGTAAGGTAAGGTAAGGTAAGGTAAACTTCTCCACACACACAAAAAACTCTGACATTTTACGAACTCCTTGGCGACGTGCGCGTCGCGTCGCCAAGGCTCTGCGACCTCGGTCGTACAATCAGCGACCTCGGTCGTACAATCGGCCGGCTGCGCGGGTTTTCGGCGAGTTTCCCGCGCACCGGCCACGAACTCGACTCGCACAGCAAAAAAATCCGGTGCTCGCGCGCCACTCCCACGCTTGACCACACACTCGCTGCACTGCTCAAAGCCAACCCTACCTCACTGGCCGCCTCCAACACTGTCCCGCGCGTCTCGCGCCCCAACTGACAACTCATCACTGTCCCTCGGACACCACTCTCCAGCCGCGCTACCTTCCCCCACCTACCGCTCTCGCACGACATCTCGACAATCCTCATATCTCCAGGCCCAAGACTCCTAACCACTGCCCCTGCTCGCCCAGGACCACGAAGCGCCGCCCGCGCGCCCATTGACCCCCCAATCAGCCCTCTTGCTGTCCCTCAATCGCCACCCGCCAGATGTACTTCCCTCGCCCACCCAATACTCTCACCCTCCTGACCCGGACAGTCCAGGTACAGGAAAAGCGGGGAGCGGGGCCCGATCCAAGGAGCACCCCGTCGGCCCGGGAGGGCTGTGAATTTCGGCGCGAGCGGAAGGCTGCCTGCAGACGCTCAGCCCCCGGC